TACTTACAAAAGAACTTCTGCAGGGGTCACCCAAACAGCTCCTTCGTTGTTGCGCTCCGCTTCGGACATGGGCGCATAGTAAGGGCGGGGAGCCGAGGTGGATTGTTCGTTGCTCATCTAAAATATATTAATTTATTTTGTTTTTTGTTAGAACGCTTATAATAGAAGATCAAATTTTTATGTAAGTATTGTCTATTGTCAATGTATATAACATATTAAACTGGGTATAAGTTTAATATCAGGTTCCAATAATTGCTAATAAACAAATCCTATAATTATTAATGAGTTGACACAGTCGACCGAAAAATCAACCGGTTGGAGCTCATCAATGAGTTGACCCAGTCGATTCATTGATAAACTCCATCCTGACGATTCTTCAGGCTACGCCTTGAACCATGGATGGGCTACATCACATGTAGCGACATAATGTCAGTACATGCGTTTGGGAGAGTCCATCGATGACTCAAGCCGTAGCCAGAAGAATCCACAGATTGGAGCTTATCTAAGAATTGACTAGGTCAACTCATTGACAAGCTCCAACTGATCGATTCTTCGATCGACTGGGTCAACTCATTGATAAATTATAGGATGAGTTTATTAGAAATTATTGAACCACTCATATTAAACTTATACACAGTTTATTAAATTTTTATAGGGAAAAATAATAAAAATACCCCAAACTTTGAAGGGATGTGACAAGAGCACCACAAACTTTCATATGTAATTTAAATATCCCAAAGTTTATATAAAGTTTGGGGTGTTTAAATTACTTATGCAAGTTTGGGGTGCTTACCTCACACCCTTTCAAAGTTTGGGGTATATTTATTATTTTTCACTATAAAAATTTATACAAGTATTATCATAAATTGCCCTTGGAGGTAACATGAGGGGTCCATATTTTTTCATAATAAGTTCTTCTACATGAGGGGTCCATATTTTTTCATAATAAGTTCTTCTATAGCATATTAAACTATCTATTAGTTTAATATGAGGGGTCCATATTTTTTCACAATAAGTTCTTCTATAATTTGGCAATAAATTGCCCTTGGAGGTAACATGTTAAACTTTTTGCAAAGTTTACATGAGAGGAGATCATTTTTTTATGTTTTAGATATATCATTTTAAAATAAATTTAAAACAGTTTGTTAAATCAAGTTTTACAAAAAACTATTTTTAAAAATAATCTGTTTAATAAAAGAGTTTTTAAAACAGTTGTTATTAAAACAGTTTTTATTAAAACAGTTTTTATAAAAACAGTTATTATAAATACAGTTTTTATAAAAACACTTTTTATTAAAACAGTTTTTATAAAAACTGTTTTTTTACAAAAATCTGTTTAATAAAACATTTTATATAAAACAGTTTATATATATCAATTTTTGTAAAAACAGTTTTTTTAGATAAATTATAAAAACAGTTTATATTAAAACAGTTTGTATAAAAACAGTTTTTATTAAAACAGTTTTTATTAAAACTATTTTTTACAAAAATCTGTTTAATAAAACAGTTTTTAATTAACAGTTTTTATAAAAACAGTTTTTTTTAGATTAATTATAAAAACAGTTTATATAAAAACAGTTTGTATAAAAACAGTTTTTATAAACACAGTTTTTATAAAAACAGTTTTTATAAAAACACTTTTTATTAAAACAGTTTTTATAAAAACTGTTTTTTACAAAAATCTGTTTAATAAAACAGTTTTTAATTAACAGTTTTTATAAAAACAGTTTTTATAAAAACAGATTTTTTTAGATAAATTATAAAAACAGTTTATATAAAAACAGTTTGTATAAAAACAGTTTTTGGAAAAACAGTTTATCTAAAAACAGTTTATAATATAAAAAATAAAAATAATTTTTTATGCTTATACTATTATAAAAAACCGTGTTTCGTCCAGTTTTTTTCGGGATTAAATTTAAATGTTTAATATTTTGTTAATGGATATTACGGAAATTATATTTAAACGTGTTAAACTATTTTTGGAAGTTTAACACGAGGGGCTATTTATTTAAACAGTTTTTTTTAAATATTAACCTAAATTAAATATTTTCGGAAATTAAATTTAAAGTAGTGCATATGTATAGAGAGGCATGCAAATCAAACACTAAACATATATGTTAAACATGATACTAATTGTATAAGCACGCATTAGTTCGAAAATATATTAATCATGCATATGAACATATATTAAACATAAAATAATCTACATTTGAACATATATTAATCATGCATACGAAACATATAAAACGAAATTATCATGCAAAACTACAAATCATGCATATAATAAATCATACATACAACTTTTGAAGATTACAAAATGATATGAAACTAAAAATCATGCATCTTATCATGCATTTGAGTATACAATCATGCATTTTTGGAATTTTAATCAAATATTACAAAATAAGATGAACAGAACACATAACCTTGACTGAAGAAGGGTCGACGGAAGAAGGTGGACGAAGGCGGCCGGAGGACGACGGCGGACGGCTAGACGGTGACGGCGGACGGCTAGGCGGCGACGGCTAGGCGGCGACGGCTAGGCGGCGACGGCGGCACTATCTAAACTGGAAAAGAGGGAAGAGAGAAGGAAGAGGAAGTTAGGGTTTGGGAGTTTGGGTGCGTAGGTTTTTAAAAAAACCGCTAAGTGTTTGTTATATATAATTTTTTAGTCACGGTCATAGTCACGGTCAGGACCGTGACTAAACCCTTCGTAATTGACGATGTCAGCAAGGCGGTCAGAGCCGCTCTGACCACAATAGTCACGGTCATTGCCGTGACTATAACCGTGACTGTTTTTAAAATTTGAAAGTAGTCACGGTCATAATCACGGCAATGACCGTGACTATTGTGATCAGCGCCCCTCTGACCGTTGGCCCTGACTTCGGCATTTACGAAGGGTGTAGTCCTGACCGTGACTACAACCGTGACTATTAAATTTATATGTCTAATAAAATTTTATGCTAAAAAATGACTAATAAAGAACCAATTGACTGAGATATGATGCGTACAAGAATGTGTCGTCTGAAACTATGTACACAACTTATTGAACCGAAAAATGAATAAGGTGTTGTTCTGTTCGTCTTTGTGTTAGTTATTACTTATTGTTTATTCTTATTTTATTCAAATCAGATCAGATCAGAAAAATTCAGACATGATTTATTAATAATAATAATAATAATTATTATTCTTATTATTATTATTATATCGTTATAATAATATTAATTGTGTTTATATTACTATTATAATATTATAAATAATGTTAATATAATTATTAACATTATTATTATTATTATTATTATTATTATTATTATTATTATTATTATTATTATTACTATTGTAATTATATGAATAACTATTAATACCATCGTAATTGTAGTGTGGACTGTGGAGTATTAAATAAACTGCTTTGAATTTATGTGGTATAGAACAGATTAAGGAGTAATTATTTTACAAACAATAATGATGAAAGAAATTATCAAATATGCTTGGAGAAATTATATCACAAAATTGAAACTACAACAGCACAATTACTCGCTGTCAGAATCGTTATTTTCTACATATATAGTGTCTTCTTCTGTATCTGAACCGTCTATCCATTCACCTTCTTCCTGATATTGAGCATTTTGTTGTGCTACATACATTTCCTCAATTTCGCGCTCAGATGGAATGGTTAGGTCCGGAAGGTGCGTTTCTGGCATGACTTCAACACGTCCGCCATTTGGATCACTTAATTGGACGTTATAGTTGACCGTCTCAACAATAGGCGGAGGTTGGAAAAATTGTTGCTGAAAAGCATCTAGATCAACGTCCTTGTGTTGAGTTTGTGATTTTATTTTGTTCAGACGGACAGGACATGCACACACCCAAGGATTCTGTGTCCGCCTTGTTGAAGGATATTCTGCATAATAAATCTGCGCTGCTTGTTGGGCGAGTATGAAAGGCTCATTTTTCGGGTACACACGAGAGTGGTTGACGTCAATCATATTATACTTCGGATTTTTGCGCACGCCACGTGTGGGGTCGACCCATGTGCAACGGAACAGAACGCATGTGAATTTTTTCGCACCAGAAGGCATCTCAAGTTCCAGAATCTCCTGCAGGACATCAAAAAAATTGGTTTCCGAGTTATCATAACCGATGGTCGGGACACATAACCCGCTGTTCGTTGTTGGTCGGCCCTCTCCGTAATCGGCTGTGTGATATGTGTAACCGTTTATCACATATTGCCGCCACACTTTGGCACTGGCACCTGGGCCCCACGCTAATGATACTAACAAAGGGTCGACAATCCCACGACTATTGATCTGTAAATATAAACATAATAATAACATTAGGTAAACATTAGGTAATATATATAATTAATGTGTGTATATATATACCTGATACTTGTACCAATTTACAAAATCAGAGTCCACCAACGCATCAATTTCATTCTCAGGAAAGGCTGATAAAGAAGCTCGGAATTCACTGTGAAGTCAAAAATTAAAAAAAAAACTATAAATTAACTACAAATTTAATTTATAAGTATTACAATTATAACTACAAATTTAACTTACTAATAAAACGGTGAGATTTCTGGACAATTCATGAGGATATAAGTATGCGCAATTTGCAATTCCCCACCCAAGATGTATCGTTGTGTCGCAGCACCTTTACCTCTGCCTGGGTAATTGAAGATGGAAACTACATTTTCATATAAATCCTCGCCAATGTCATCGTTCCGGGCAGGTCTCTTCCTTCTGGTGATGACGTCACGCTCGAAGTAAAAAGACGAGAACGTTGAGATTTCTTGTTGAAGATACGCTTGACAAATTGAAGCCTCAACGTGTGCCTTGTTGGTCACTTTCTTTTTCAGCTCTCCTAGAAATCTGCAATAATGCAATAATACACATGTTAACAGTTATTGTGAAGTAAATATTTTTTTTTAAATGAAATTGTGACTAACCTTTCAAATCTGTACATCCACAGGCCCAGCAGTCAAAGCCTCATACAGAAGATGTATTATGAGATGTTCCATTGTATCGAAAAACGATGGTGGCATTATTTTTTCCAGATTACACATCAGAATGGGAACAGACTCTTGTAGTCTCCGGAGGGATGCCGCATCCAAAACGCTGGAACATATCGATTGAAACAACAAACTGATTTCAGTAATGCAGGACCATACGTGTTCAGGGAGCATCTCTTTTAGTGCAATTGGTAGAAGTCTTTGCATTATTACATGAGCATCGTGAGTTTTCATGCTCGCCGTCGTGGTAAGTTTGTTCATGTCTACGCATCTAGACAAGTTGGAGCAGTAGCCATCTGGAAACTTCTGAGACGCAAGCCATTTTAATATTGCTGCCTTTTGTGGTTCTGTGACCTGGTAGACTGCTTTTGGAACTTCCTTGCCCTGATATTCTAGATCAACAGAAAGTTCGGGTCTATCACACCAAATAGTCATATCTTTCCTAGTTGCAAGACCGTCTTTAGTTTTGCCTTTCAAATCCATCACCGTGTTAAATATATTATCAAAGACGTTCTTCTCAGTGTGCATGACATCTAAATTGTGACGGATGAGAAGGTCTTTCCAATAAGGCAACTCCCAGAATATGCTCCTCTTTGTCCACTTATGGGTATCACAATACCCATATGGCTCTTGGTTTGGCTCTTCCATAGCCGTAGGAAAACGTCGAACCCAGTTATAAATTTCTTCACCGGTCAATCTCGGGGGTGGGCTCTCTCGTACCGCTCTGCCTCTAATGAAAGACTTCTTGTCCTTTCGATATCGGTGCCTTTCCGGGAGAAACTTGCGGTGACAATCAAAGTAACTTCCTTTTTTGCTGTAACTGAGCCAGTTGGCACCTGATTTCTCCATGCATATCGGACATCCCATCAGACCGTGTGTGCTCCATCCCGAAAGCATGCCATAGGCAGGGAAGTCGCTAATGGTCCAAATGATGGCAGCTTTCATGATAAACATTTTATCTGATGAAACATCATAAGTTGGTGTCCCAACGGCCCACAGTTCTTTCATCTCCTCAATAAGGGGTTGAAGATAAATGTCTATCTTTCGCCCAGGATCCTTGGAACCCGGACAAATTAAAGACAAAAAGATGAAATGACTTTTCATGCACATGTCGGGAGGGAGATTGTAAGGAGTTAACATGACCGGCCAACATGAATAGTTCTTGCCAAACCTGCCAAAAGGAGCAAATCCATCTGAGCACAATCCCAGCCGCACATTTCGTGGCTCCATAGCAAACTGAGGATGACAGCGGTCAAAGTGTCTCCAGGCTTCACAGTCCGAAGGGTGAGCCATCATACCCTCGTTGGTTTCGTGCTCAACATGCCATGTCATGTGTTTCGCAGTAGCAGTCGAAGCGTACATCCTTTGCAGTCGAGGAGCTTTTGGGAGGTAATACCGTTTAGACAGTGCAGACCTATGTCGTGGTTTCTTTTTACCTTGCCGAACAGGTTTGTATCTGTCTCCACCACAGAACTTGCAGAACTCAAGTGCCTCATCCTCCTTCCAGAACAACATACATCCTTCCGGGCACGCATCAATTTCAACACAAGGTAGCCCCAACTTAGACATTAACTGCTTCATGTGGTAATATGAATCGGGAAGGGTATGATCTCGCGGTAGCATCCCTCCTACTGACTGCAAGACTCTATTCATGCAAGTTTCAGGGAGACTGTATTCGGCTTTTATGTTCATGAACTCAGTAACAGCGGATAGCTGAGAGTATCCCTCACAATCAGCATACAGAGGTTGGTCGGCAGCTTTTAGAACATCCTGAAATCTCTCAGCCAAACCTTCATCCACATAAGGTTGATAAAATGTCGGATTTTCATCCGCATCTGGTTGATACGAGGTTGAGGCTTCAGGGTGGTCGTTAGGTGGTTGTGGGGGGTTCAACTGAGACGGTACACTGTATGCGTCATATACCATTTGTTGGTCCCACCTCATTTCAGCACGGTCTCCCCACGCACTCATCTCTGGAGGGACGTAACGAGACGAACCTACCGTTTGTGGTATAACAAATGGATCCAAAGGTTCGCCGTGAGAAGTCCAATTATAATAATTGGGAACAAAACCGACCGCGTACAAATCATACCCAACTTCGTGTGGGTCTTTAAATTTGAGATTTTTACACTTTGAACATGGACATCTTATTTTATCACCACTCATATAAGCCGGATGTTCAAGTGCAAATTCAATAAATTCCCCGACTCCCTCGAGAAAATTTGATTGCATTCCGTACAATACCGCATCTTTATCATGCATCCAACTTCTATTTTGTTTATACATTATGCCTGAATATTATAATAAAAAATTATATGAAATGCAATGCACACAATTTTAAGTAATTTATTTCACTAAATATAATCAACTAATTTTCACTAAATTAAATGAAATGCACAGAATTCACAACAATAATGCACAAAATATGCGTCCCCTTATGCACAATAATGCACATAATTTCACTAAATTAAACATACGTTTAATTAAATTTAACTAATTCATTTAGTTAAATTTAACTAAATTTAACTACTTCATTCCGTCCCCTTTTAGTGCATCACTACGTATAAACCTACGTTTAGCTAACTAATTTAACTTAATTAACACATCAATAGCTACGTTCAAACTTAACCTACGTTTAGCAAACGAATTTGAATTAAATTATTTTTGTAAACCTACGTTTAAACCTACAATAAATTATTACGTTAATGACATTTAATCTTATTAGTAATACACAATTAACAATTCACTAAACTAAATAATATGACCAAATTCAACCCAATAATTTGAACATGTATATAAAGTCATTTGAATTAATAAGCAATACACAATTCACAATAACAATTCACAATTCACTTAATTAACACATTACTAACGTACGTTATTTGAACTAATTTCACTTAACATAAACATCATTACGTTTTAAACTACATTTAGCTAACTAATTTTAAATAAATTATTTTATAAACCTAAAGTTTAACTAATTCTAATTTATGACATTACTACGCTTATAGTTAAAACATGTTGTTAATTAATTAACAACCTCACTAATTTAATAGTTTTAATAATTTAAATTGAACCAACTAATTCTAAATAAAAATTAAATTTTAATCATAGTCACGGGTATAGTCACGGCCACATCCGTGACTAAGACGTCGGAATCAAATAAACTTCGCCGGAAACGGAAACGGGCCTATCGGAGGACTTAAGTCACGGGCCAAGACCGTGACTAATTGTAGTCACGGCCATAGTCACGGTCAAGACCGTGACTATTTTTTTTTTAAATTTCCGTGACTAGTCCGTGACTAAACTACTCACGGACCAAATCCGTGACTACGGTCCGTGACTAAACGCGTGTTTTTTTGTAGTGAAAACAGGATTATTAAACGGGCTCTTAATGTGCAACCGGTAAATAAGACAAGATGGTCTGGAGATGAAAAAGAGAGGATATTGGTTATCAGATTCCTTTTCTTTTCCAATCTGTTTTGGAGTTTATATAATATTCTTCTTTTCTATTATATTCGTTTTCAAGTTAATTAGGTGTATTTCATGTGAGATTTTTAGTAACTGAAAAGATTTTAAAATAAAAAAAACGGTAGCTGTTTGAATAGGATTGGTCCCGACGTTTTATGGGTCCAGAAGAGCACAAATAGAGTAGAACTTAGAGACAACATGTGGATGTTTATAAAAGAAAGTAATTACACTTAATCATTTTGTCATCTAAATATGAATATAAAATGTATCAAAAAAATTAATAAATGAGACGAATACAAAGATTATATTTAAGTAATTTAATAAGTGACATTCGAGAATACTATGCACCTAAGCCGCCCGCATGGAAAAGTACAATTGTTGCAATAGAGAATTTTGAATCTGCAAAAGACGTGAAAGTTATATCGAATGTGGAGTAATACATGTTTTCATATTTCAAATCACATTTACATTAGACTAAAACAAACTGCACATTTCTAAATTATGTATACTATAATTTAATTTTTCACTTACATGAGAGAACCAGAGAAAATTGGCAAAATAGTGAAAATACTATCAAACGAAATGGTGAAGTCTGTTGCCAAGGAATTCTCATGTCAATGTTTTAAACTTTTTGACTTGTAGCTTGTAGATGGTGAATAATGAATTGGAAGTATAAAAGAGAATATAATTTTGTTTTTTAGATTTTATAAATATATAATGTATATATAAAATAAATAAATAAATAAATAAATATATAAGTGAGAAATTTGTGAGTCCTAGGAGAGTAATGAGCATTGGGCACATGCCCCCCTGCTCGTGCTCCAGGACTTGCTCCGTGTTTGATAAAAAACTGACTATTATATTTGATTTTGTTTTATTTGATATAGAAGTTGATGAGACTCATTAATATCAAAAGTTATAGACTTTTCACAGATGTTGTTCAGTGTAAATCTCAAAAAGCTATTTTATCTTTTAAAAAACTTTTAAAAATTTTCATGCTAAATACTTCGTATACAACTAGAAGCTTTTGAATACTTTTTAAGTTGTAGAAAAAGTAGAATGTTGGGACTTATGCGTACCAAACAAGCACTATATGATGCAAAGTAATGTTTTGACCTCTTAACATCTATTCTATTGCCTTGTATTTAACTAAATGAGATAATGTAATGTTTTGACCTATTAACATTATTCATTAAAGGTATCTTTTTAATTTGTAGGCTAAAGGCTCAAATAGGTACATGAACTAACTTCAAGTGTTCAATTAGCCCCTTATATAGGAGGTTCTGCCCGGCTGTCGCCAATTGGAGCGGTTCCCGGTGGAATTTTTTGATGAAATTTTTTGAGCATCTTCTTCATTAAGTCTAGTTTACCCATACCAAATTTGAGCTAAAAATTCAACCGGGAAGGCAGTCAAATGATTTTTTGAAGATAACTACGCAGTTAAACAACACAGTACATTTCGGAAAATCATTTGACTGCCTTGCCGATTTAATTTTTAGCTGAAATTTGATATGGGTAAACTAGACTTAATGAAGAAGATGCTCAAAAAATTTCATCAAAAAATTACACCGGGAACCGCCCCAATTGGCGATGGCCAGGCAGAACCTCCTATATAAGGGGCTAATTGAACACTTTAAATTAGTTCATGTACCTATTTGACCCTTTAGCCTAATTTGTATTTGATGTGAATAGACAATATTTTCTTTTATTTGACATTTATCAAAATTTATCTTCTTTCAAAAAAAAGAGTATTGAAGATGCTCCTAAAGACTGCTAAGGTTTCAAGTACGTACGGCGGCTAGAGTTTCAGTGACTCATTAGGGTTTTAGTGATTGTGGTAAGAGTTCATTTATGGTAAAGGCTGCTAGAGTTCCTAATCTCCTATGACTGCGGGTCTGCAATAAGATCCTAGAGTTTGTGGCTAATTTGGTTAAAGTTAAGACAAAATCACTAGACATTGATAGCAACGACCGGTGATGATCATTAAAATTGGGGCTGAGTGACTAAGAGAGATTTGTTTGTAACTTCAAATGATGGTCACTATCGTAGGTGACAATTGCTACAGAGTCTACCGTTGTGGGTGGGACAGTAGGGCATCGCTAGGTCGGTGAGGGGCGCAAAGTGACATTAATTACCTTTTATTAGTAAATTTAATACTTAAACAATAAATTTAGTGTACATTATTGATGCAATTTTTTTGTGATTAATTTGATGAGTCATTTAAAAAAACTGAAAAGAGTGAGTTTTTAATTGAAAATATTACGAGAGGGTTATCGTCCGATAACCCTACGTACGTTGAGTTTTGTCCGCCTTCGTTTATCGAAGTGCGAGTTTGCCATGAGTTAGTTTGGGCGGTGAGGGGCGGTAACGGGGATTGGGTAGAATCACGGTGGGTGTGGATTGGGCGTGAAGGCGGTGGGCTGTGGCTATTTTACTTGGAGGTTTCGGTAATAGCAGGCGACGGAGTAGGCTTCATCTATGGAAAGTGTTGTTGATAGATATAAGCAGATGGCGATCAGAGGTGAAGAGGAGGAGATCAATCTCGATGATGGCGAGGCCGATGATGTCCCGGCGGAGGCGGCGGCTGTGGGTTTCCCGGTTCTTGGGCAGGTGTTGACTGATCGACAGGTCCGGTTCGTGGAGATCAAAGAAAAGCTACTTGCTCTCTGGAGGCCCGGGAAAGGTATGACGTTAAGGAAATTGGAGAAAAGAGGTATCTGTTTTCTTTTAATCATTGTTTTGATATGAAAAGGGTTTTGGATGGGGGCCCTTGGCAGTTTGAACGTAGTTTGATCTTGCTTAAAGAGATTATGCCTGATGATATACCACATAAAATTGTTCTGAATGAGGCAAAATTTTGGGTCCAGATTCATAATGTTCCTTA